TTTTTTTTTTTAAACTATAATCCTACATGAATGAGTTGGGGGTCAAAATGCACATGTCAACGACCTTTTACTGGGTGCCTTTCAATGTGGTATTAAGTTTTGGATGTCAGTTATTAATTTTGCCCTACATTATTGAGTTAACAGTAGTTTATAGAAGTGGGTATTATGAAAAAACTGTAGAGATGCATTTCAGTGGTTCTAGAAGTTATGCAAATGTGGTATGCAAACTGTACGATGATCAAATATATTATTGTTTTCACCTGATCGTCATCTTGCACTCCAATTTGTCAGTGTCCGAGTCAGACTGACATCATCAATTCACAGACATATCTTTAGTACAAAAAATTTTGTAACACATCTGATTTTTTGTGTACAACAGACTTGTACATTTTTATACAACCTTGTTACATTTTGCATAGGTACATGTAGTAAATTCAGAATTATAATTAATATTATTTTTCCACTACTCGGTTGGTTAAATGTCTGTAACACAAAGATGTCCGTTAATTAAGGGTTTGTTTGGATACGTGTACGTTTTTAATGTTTCTAACACAATTATGTTTTAGTTGTTTCAACAGTGTCTTTTGGATGTATTTTAAATATCTATATATTATTCTTGGTATATTTGAGTTTTATGCTCTTTTTTAAATAGAATGGGTTATGGTTCTTTTTTGTATCTAATTTTGTGTATATTTTTCTTTTTTTAAATGTTTACTCTATATATGCTTGTTGTTTTCATCTCTTAGTTTTTCAGGGGTTTAGATACATTTTAATTTTGTATGAGTTCTATAATCCCTGAAATGTCATTATATCTCTTGTTAGTTACTTTAATCACCATATTTGTAACATCAAACTTTCTATCTTTTTTTGTTAGTTACTTTAATCACCATATTTGTAGTATCAAACTTTCTACTTTTTTTGTTAGTTACTCTAATCACCATATTTGTAGTATCAAACTTTCTTTTTTGTTAGTTACTTTAATCACCATATTTGTAGTATCAAACTTTCTATCTTTTTTTTGTTAGTTATACTTTAATCACCATATTTGTAACATCAAACTTTCTATCTTTTTTTGTTAGTTACTTTAATCACCATATTTGTAGTATCAAACTTTCTATCTTTTTTGTTAGTTACTTTAATCACCATATTTGTAGTATCAAACTTTCTATCTTTTTTTGTTAGTTACTTTAATCACCATATTTGTAGTATCAAACTTTCTATCTTTTTTCAGGGTTTTGTTCCAGGCATGTTTGGCGTTTCTCACGGTGCACTACAGTTTATGGCGTATGAAGAAATGAAAAAGCTTTACATCAAACGATATAACCTTTCTCCAGATAGACATTTGGTATGACTTGCATTCAAATTTGGTTAATAATTAGAAGATTAGATTAACAGTTTGTAGTAAAGTAAAATGATGATTGAGTTTAAAGTAATTTTCACTTTTGTTATGCAATTTCCAAACTGTTACATTGATAATTTTAATTTAACTTGTATGTAGTAGTTGTTTCCTCATGGTGCTAGTGGACATGTAAATTTTTTTTCTCTGGTGCTTGATATTTTTATATAACTGCTTCTCCTTGTAGCTATTAAGTTCAAGGCAGAACATTTTTTGGTTCATGTGTCAGTGGTTGGGCTGAGATTCAAATTTAACCATATGAAGATAAGACGAACAAAAGTAGGTTATAGAACAATATCTGAGTAAATAAATTCATGTTTGTTTTTTAGCTGTGATAGATATTCAGTATTTATGAATACAACATTTTGAGAATTCACATTCTAAGCCGTTAATCCTTGTAGAGTTGTATATGTAAGGTAGGGATGTGTATAACAGTCATGCCAATCTAAAATATGGCTTCTTCCAACATCCACCTGGGAGCTTAAGTATCATCGCAGAATACACTTAGGCTACAGACATGTTGCATGAAGATGGTACAGTATGTATGAAGACTTAAATTGTTATTAAGCTACATTTTTATTTGCCAAAATGTGCAAAATAATGACTGTTGTGTTTGTCATGCTTGTAGATAAATTTTATTGAGAAGTAACTTTGATTGGAGTTTAAAATTACTGTTCGGCTTCATATAAGTCACACGTGTAAGATTTTTCTACTATATATCGAGCCCTGGTATTGGGCAAAAGACCTAGTTAGCAGTAGATATAGCAGATACAGTGGGGTTAGCACATTGTTTTATACCTTCTGTCATTGTCAAGTGACAGTGAAAATCAAGTAGAAAAGATAACACTTGAATATGAGGGTTATATATTGTGGAACTCTTAATCTAGCAAGATACATATACTCAGCTGTAAGATTACAAACATAGAAGTAAAATGATCACCAAGAATTGAGAAGCATGCAAGTTTAACCAAAGAAAGTCTATAGCAATTTATTTTAAAACTTATTATCAGTGATAGAATTATTGATTTTTGAGGTAGCAGCAGTCAAGCAACAGGACAATGAATTGAGTGGCATATCCAAAGATTACTTGGAATTTATAATACTATTTGACTTGAAGAAACTGTTCAGGGTGGTAGGAGGTTACTTGGAACTTATAATACTGTTTGACTTGAAGAAACTGTTCAGGGTGGTAGGAGGTTACTTGGAACTTATAATACTGTTTGACTTGAAGAAACTGTTCAGGGTGGTAGGAGGTTACTTAGAACTTATAATACTGTTTGACTTGAAGAAACTGTTCAGGGTGGTAGGAGGTTACTTGGAACTTATAATACTGTTTGACTTGAAGAAACTGTTCAGGGTGATAGGAAGTCTCATTTATTGTACATGAAACATATCAGATGATTTAGCTTCATAAAGAGCAGTATTGTAGTTATCCATGTGATGTTATGCAGGGAATAGCACTTTTAACTTTTAAGTGTTTGCAAAATGTAATTTTAATACGTTCGAACATACTAAAGCATTAAGGATATAAGCATCACCTTACAATAACCACATAGTTTTTATGTACATACCTCTCTAATTGTGTAAGAAAATAATAAACTAAATAGATAAGTGTATGTCTGCAACCCTTAGATAGTAGTCGTGAAACACGTTACAGAAAGTAGATGCCATGTTTGCTGTCTTATTCCGTAGTATGTGTGTGTGTGTGCGTCGGTCGTAGAGGAGAACTTTAGACAGAAATGACAGTTATACGTGTATCTACCTTTCTAAATATGACTGCAGAGTAGTGCTGGGTAACAGTTAAAAGAAATCAATGTTTTATTTCAACTGATTAGTGCTAAAGGGTCAGTTCTTATTCTCAGCCCCCTGAGCAATTCAGCATCAGTCTACTTTAATACTTGAGAGGTGTTAGCTAGATTTTTTTTTCATGACATAACTGTTGTATTTGAGTTTTCTAACATTATTTTGCACATTCCCAAGAAATGGATAACTTAATGCTGACACTGTATTTCCAGAGCACTGTTGAATACCTTGCAATAGCTGCTCTATCAAAGTTGTTTGCTGCTAGTGTGACGTACCCTTATCAGGTGTTGAGAGCTAGACTACAAGACCAGTTCACAGATTATAAAGGTCTGATAGATGTAATCAATAAAACATGGCGGTAAGTTATAAGAATACTTTCACCAGATAACTAGATTATTTTGTGAGTTTTATGGTAGGTAATTAACAATCTACAGTGAATCTGTCAGTATTTAAAATAAAAGTTATTATTGAACAAAATAAGATAAATTGTTCTGTAACTGCACCTGCCTAAAGTGGTTTTTAGTGCATTGCAAATTAATTGTTATTTAAACAATTAAAGAAATAGGTAGGTGTCAGTTTTAATTTAAAACATTTTAGAATCCAGTAATCTTTGTTTACTACTTTGAAAGGAAATGTAAATTGGTTTGAAACTTTTATACCAGTAAGTATACTACAACTGGGTCAGGAAATCAAAGAAACAGATGTAATAATCTCTAAAAATGAATTTGGGTAAAAGTAAATCTTATTTTATGGCAGTTTTTTGATGGTTAACTTTGTCTGGTACTTTTAAAAAATATATATTTTGAAATGATATCTTATCTCTTCTTACAAAATAGCTTTTCTTAATTAGTCCTGCCCTCTATTGGTGCAAAGTTTCAATGCTTTCCACTAGCCTTCCACCTCTCACTTCTGCATATCCACATGCAAATTATCATGCAGTAGCCCTCCATGAATAGGAGCACAACACAACCTCTATCGTAACCAGCACCCTCTTCACATTTGCACTCGTTAATCACTTCTTGATTGGCAATAGTACTGTACAGATGTGTTGCTTTTTGCTCGTGGATTTGTTGACATTTTCCTCTCTACTACAGACTTAGTTTTTCTTTAATATTTATTTAAATTTTGTATTTTGGAATTGTAAAATATTGCTTTTTACAACTTTTCTTTTTCATAAGCCTTTTTGGCTAGTGTCTTGTGGATCCCTCTCTGTGGCAAGTGGTACCTGACTAGGTATACATTTTTTTGTTTTTTAAATATGCACTGTCCATTCTGTGACCATGCTCGATGTCAGTTATGTTGTAGCCCTTCTTACTGTGGACCTGATGTATAATTGTAGATGCCACCAGTTGTTGGTTGTGTGTCTTCGTTCTGTTGTCAGCTACGCCTAAACAATTATGTTGCAGAATTGGGTTATGCACATTATAGATATAGGATGTTCTGTAGGACTGCTAGTAGTTCTCTTTGGTTGTCCCTGACCATACATTCATGGACTAACATGAATACAGCAGACAGGGATTGCTGTCCATCTCTGCTCCATGATGTTGAGACTTTTTTTTACCACAAATCTGATGTACAATTCCAGGTGCTGCCAGGTTTTGGTTGAATGGCTCCGTTGATGGGGTAGCTCTGCTTTTAAAAATAAAAGTATTCCGGTCATCCATTGCACTGTCTCTGGTGATGCGGTCCTCCAGACTCTTCAATTCATTTTTCCCTTCTTTTTTTCTAGTGGAGTATGGGAGTCCTTACCACTTAAAAGTTCTTAACTGCTGGGATGGTGGACCCTGTAGACCTGCCCTCCTGAGTGATGAATTATACCACTCAGTTGAGAATAGGAAGGTGGCATTTTGCAGGCGTCGATGACATATAGCACTTCCTACTGTGGACCTGATGTTCAATTCTAAATGCCCCCAGGTTTTGGTTGTAGCACTACACCATATTACTGTCTATATATCTGACCAATTTGTTTTTTCTACTGTGGCATTTGTCCTTCATACCATCCTCCCAAAGGTACATTCCCAGTGGGTCTGATGTTGGTTGTAGATGGCCCAATCACGATTAGAATGATGTGTCGATGGTATGATGCCCTTCTTACCACGGACTTGATGTACAATTCCAGATGCCACCAGGTTTTGGTTATAGCACTCTGCTATGTCACGATTTTATATCTATAATTGCAGTTTGTCCCATAGGCTGAATGTTCCTCCTACCTACCAGCCTCTGGAAGCACATTCCTGGTGGGTCTAGTGTTGGTTGGAGATGGTCCAGCTAAGTAAGACCTCACATGTGTGCTAGTCGGTATCCCTCCTCCTACCGCAGACTGGATGACAAATGCCCACTGCCGACAGGTTTTGGACTGGAGATGCAACCCAGGTTTGCAGTCCCTCTTCCTACAGTCTTCTGGATGCAGTACACGTTTTCTCGCTTGTTGTGCACAGCTGGTATTCTCCTTCTACCACAGACTGGAAGTGCCATACTCATCACCACCTGGTTTTGGACTGGAGATGTCATCCCACTGTGGTTTTCCACTTTCTTACCATCTGCTGGATGTTGGTTCCAGGCAGATCTGGTGTTGGTTGTGTTGGAAAAGTATGCAAGTGGAGACATATTTTGGTATGGAAGCTTGTCTTCCCTAACAATTCCTGTTTCAAGGTGAAGAGGTCGGTGATCTTCTACCTACCATTGATCTGGTGAACCATTCCAAATACTGCCTGGTGTTGGATGAGGTCAAACTACCATTAAGGTCTGTTGTGCCCTAGCAACTTGACACCCAGGAGTCCCATTAATTGGTCATCCATATTCTGGGACTCCTTCATGTTTTTCCACCTTTTATTTTCACAACACAGTCTTAAAAGAGCGAAGAGTATACCTGGATCAGATGTGGTGCAGTCTCCTGCTGAGGTGTGATGTTTCCTCTCTTGGTTCCACACCTCCTGGTCTCTCTTTTGGCACTACCTAAAGGTGGATCCTTTTTCAACTGGCCCTCCATCTATCAGTGTGGGATTTTAGTTATTTTGTGAGTGGAGGTAAGATATTTTATTGGAAATTAGCATTTTTCTACATGGAAAATGTATTTCTGATAGATATTACTTCCACTAGCATCTCTCACCCAGCCTCCGCACTTTCAGTGATATGTGGTGTAGGTATTCTGACCAATCTCAAAGTTGATTAATGAGTGCAAATGTGAAGAGGCTGCTGGTCACTATAAGGAGTTGTGTTCATATTGGTGGAGAGCTGCTGCATGATTATTCACATGTGGATATGCAGAAGTGAGTGGTGGAAGGCTAGTGGCAAGTGTTGACAATTTGTGCCAATAGAGGGCAGTACTAGTTGAGAAAAGCTATTTTGTGAGAGGAAGTAAGTATCTATCGCAAATACATTTTCAGTGTAGAAAAATGGTAACTTTCACCAGTGTAGGAGTTATACACTAGAAGTTGAGAAAAAGTGTTAAAATCAATGGTAGAATCAATAGCTAAAATGTGATACAGTGAAAAACTAACACATTGTAAGGATGTTGGGAGTAGTTAAAATGGCACTTGCATGGTATGTGCCTGATTGGCTGTCTCAGGCCATAGAGGAGGGTGGAGATTGAAACTAGAAGGTCACAAAAAATAATAGTTCCATGAAGTGGCACCAAAGGGAATATTACTAGGGGCAGATAGTTCATGATGTCATAGTTCCACCAAAGAATGCGTTATTAGGGGAGCTAAATGGGGGAAGGGACTAAAGTATAGGATGATGAGTTAATCTATGATATATGGGCTGTTATGTGGTTTGCAAGCCAACCACCAGAGGGTAATGTAGAACAAATATCAAGGTATCTAAACATGTGATTACATCTTCAACTTTACAACTTTCACTTCAGTAATGAAGCCTCAAAATTAATATATAATCTAATTTGCATAAAATGCCTTTTACAATTATACCAGTTTATCTTACATAGTCCTGAAAAGGACCATTTTTTATGAACCTAAAGTTTCAATCCCTAAATAGTTATCACATACAGTAATTTAACTTCTTTCTTGTTGCTTTATGAGTAAATTATTCAAACTCTACATATATATATGATGTATGTTTTGCTAATTATAAAGTTATATGTCACAGTTTATTTATTTTCTTATATTATCCTCTTTAACTTAAACACATACTAAGATTGGTTGTTTCAACAAGTGGCACTGTGACACACATCACAGTTCAGCATGATTGGATTTTTACGAAGAGAAGTTAATGTAAAGGAATAGACTCAGTGACAATGTGCAAACTAAATAACAGCCCACGCTTCACAGGTGACTATTTTCTGGGCTGATGCTCTTTAACCTCCACCCACTGAGGCAGTGGAATATGGACACCCAACAACCTCACTAAATACTGTCGAGCATGAACGTCAAACAAACAATGGACTTTGTACTAGTTTCTAGATATATTCCATTTTAGCTGTTTTTATTTTACACTGAAGTGTTAAGTAGTTATTTGTTTAACAAAGAAGCTGATTGTTTGTGTTTTATTTAGGTATGAAAGGCTCAGAGGATTTTACAAGGGATTGAGTGCGTACCTGCTACATGTTACTCCGAACATTTGTATTGTGTTTCTCATGTATGAAAAGATTACTGCTCCTAGAGAGAAAGAAGATCTTAGCTTGGTGACCTGTGAGGAAGACGCACGGTGACAGAAGTTCCATTGGTAGCCAGGTGTTTAAAAGCAGCTGTTTCTATTGTTTATAACCACAGAAAAAAAAATTAAATATAGATTTTAACCTGGAAAACAGATTATTAGGTTGTTGTGTGCCAAAATAAGTACTGGATGTGGTGTACCTAATATATTCATATTGGAAAAAATATCTGGTGTCATGGATTATGAGTTTAAAAGAAACATTTTGTAGTTTTAAAGTGAAAAGATGTTTTTTTTTTGGTAAAAGCTATACATAAAATGAGTCGTATCTTCAAGTTTCCGATAAGTTGGTGAAATAGTGAGCTGTGTCATTTTGTTATCAAGTTAGAAATGAGTAGTAAACGATTTAGAATTATTTGTTATCAATTTCTTTAAAATATTTAGATATTGTGCATATGTTTTAGAATGTTTTTGTCTTTCTTGTGGCTGAATGAAAAATGGATTGGTTTTGTGCAATGATTAAAATACACTTGAGTACATTTGTTTTTTTTTGTTAATGGTGCATGTATTTTGGAAAAGTTTATTTATGCCTGAGAACTGTAAAGTCGTGTACTGATTGAATTACCAGACCAAAGAAAGTGGCCAGAAGTATCTTGGACATGCCAGACCTTTAAAAGGTAAAGTATTAAGGGTGGGGGAGATTTGATAGTTGCATTAGCTGTAAATTCTAACCTTGAAGGTTAATTAGTATTAATTATCAAAGTAGGTGTCTTACACATTCACTTGAGAATTGTCCCAGTAAGAAAAAATTAAAATACAATGATGATCATCAACATTATTATGATTTATCACAGACTGATGGAAACAACTAGGAATAGTTTGTGTTAACTTTAAATACTTGCTTCGTACTATTACACCAGCTAAACTCAGAATGGTTAACTTAAGACTTCGGTTCTTGTTTTACATCATTTACACTTTGCTAGAGATGTATGAAGACAAAGAATGTTGAAATTTCTCTAGTTCTTTACCATATACTTGGATGTTGTTTGTATGTTAAAATCAAGATTGGTTGTATGCTAAAATCAAGATTGGTTGTATGTTAAAATCAAGATTGTTTGTGTGTTAAAATCAAGATTGTTTGTGTGTTAAAATCAAGATTGGTTGTGTGTTAAAATCAAGATTGGTTGTGTGTTAAAATCAAGATTGGTTCTGTGTTAAAATCAAGATTGGTTCTGTGTTAAAATCAAGATTGTTTGTTCTTCATTCATACTTCAACATTTCTTTATATTTTTCTTGAAAGGTAAGAATTACGATTGTTCCTGAACACTTTCTGGAATGTGCACCTGTTCAGTACTTCAACAAACCCTCAGGTACTTGTTCAAGGAATTTCAGTACATCTTTTGATATGAAATTAAATATGCACTTCGAAGCTTTATCAGATTCGTGGATGTCTGTTACAGGTTCAAGTAAAAAATTGTTTTATCAGCTTTACTGCTCCAATATAATTGTAAATAGCTTCTGGGGGTTGAGATAGCTTGCTCTTCTTTCAATATTTTGGCATATCTACTTTTGGGATGTAATAGTGATTGTGTATGAACCTGATGCTTCACGGTTATCTAGGTAATTTCAGAAAAAAATGACTTCTTTCTGTGCCTTTGGTACTTCAACACAACTTGAATGTTGTAAATTTTAAGTTCTACGTTCTTATTTCCAGAACATGGATATAAGTCTGTACATATTTGGGTTCTTTATTTCAGAATGTATACAAACAAGTCGGTTAGTGTTATTGCATGTGTTTTTGATCGAGTAATGCAACGTTTTTTATAGAGAACTTGTATAGAAGGTATAGATTTTTTTACTAATGAGCTGAGATTAATGTACAGAAATAGTTAGTGTAACAAATGTTATCAAGGAAAGATTGTTTAATGGAGAGAAAGATATTAATACTTTTATCTTTCTGTTTCGAGCTAAAGGTCTAGTCAGTATATTACTGGTTGGTAACTCCACAATTGTGATCGACATTTCCTTGCCTTAGTTGTGTGTCGGATAAGATGTTGTAATTGTTGCACTGTGAGAAAAGAGTGATAAGTCAAAAAGGTAGTTATGAGAATGAAGTAAACAGTTGTTTTAGAAATGCGTGTTATATATAGTTTTTATTTTGTTCATATGAGAGTTGATTAATTATTGTCTATTTTTGAAATAATTCAAGAAGTGATGAAATGAAAAGTCACTAATTCAAGATTTTTTTTTTATCATAAATAAAGTATTTGTTATCTTCTCATTATCTCCTCCATTAAATTAATGTGTTTGAACAAAACATGCTTCAGTGAATGGAAAAATCACGAATTTTTAGGCATCCCAGATTTCTATAAAATATTACTTTATTTTTAAAAGATTTAAAGAGATGTAAGTAGGATATGGAAAAACCTGATTTCAATGTCGGATAAAGCAGTTATGTTTTTTAAGTTTGAATCTATCATTAAAATGCTATTTACTTCATGTCTTGTAATTGACTTCACTTTGCACTCTGAGAAAGTATATTCATACAGCTTTTCAATAAAATTGATTATTAATCAAGGAAAGTATGTATTAACAACATAGATAACACACATAGGTGTTTTGTGAACAGGCAGAAGCCAACTACGGCTTTCATCCAATACCAGGGCTCATCAGGCCAGTTGGAATATAGAACAGATAATATTGGTTGAGAAACTATTTATACAGAGGTGAAATTCTTTAAAAAAACGTAGAGGTACTCCGTTGTAGACCTGTTTTTGAAAAATTACGTTTAAACATAAAAAATGACAATGCAGCTCAAATAAATCCCAGTACTAGTACTGCCTTAAAAAATAAGTTCTCGTACTCAGTACCTGTGAGTGCTGGCAGAATTTCATCCCTGTATTTATATTATGAAATTGTAGGAACAACAATTGTCCTTATGTGAACCAGGTTAAGGTGAACTTATGTTCTTGTGTGAACCAGGCTAAGATGAACTTGTGTTCTTGTGTGAACCAGGCTAAGATGAACTTGTGTTCTTGTGTGAACCAGATCAAGAGAACTTATGTTCTCGTGTGAACCAGGTTAAGATGAACTTGTCAATTACTTATTTAACACAATCATTTTAAACAGAAAAAAATTAATGATGTTCTTTTTTTTTCTCTTTTCTTTACATTAAAACAACTGAATGTTGCATATGTAGTTGATGTAGTGCTGTACTTTCAATAATAATTTCTTACAATTTAAATATATGTATACATGTAGGACATTGTGGGTTTCAGCACCCATATCTGTAATAAATTCTTACAATTTAAATATATGTATACATGTAGGACATTGTGGGTTTCAGCACCCATATCTGTAATAAATTCTTACAATTTAAATATATGTGTACATGTAGGATATTGTGGGCTTCAGCACCCATAGCTGTAATAATTTCTTACAATTTAAATATATGTATACATGTAGGACATTGTGGGTTTCAGCACCCATATATGTAATAAATTCTTACAATTTAAATATATGTATACATGTAGGACATTGTGGGTTTCAGCACCCATATCTGTAATAAACTCTAACAATTTAAATATATGTATACATGTAGGACATTGTGGGTTTCAGCACCCATATCTGTAATAAACTCTTACAATTTAAATATATGTATACATGTAGGACATTGTGGGCTTCAGCACCCATATCTGTAATAAACTGTTACAATTTAAATATATGTATACATGTAGGACATTGTGGGCTTCAGCACCCATATCTGTAATAAACTCTTACAATTTAAATATATGTATACATGTAGGACATTGTGGGCTT